CGTTGTAGTAGCCGCGTATTTAGCGTAAGCCGGTAGTCACCACAAATTCTCGGAGTAATACCATCAGCCTTCAGTGGGGTAACGATCGGAGTTGCCCAATTCGATGACTCGACAGGAGTCAGTATTCCTTTCGCACACATTGAATTTAATGCTTGACGAACAGGCTCGCGTAAACCAAATGGAATAATCCGTCTCTTAAGAAATATAGGCTCTCCTGTAACTTCGAGCCTCATCTTGGGAATTTGCATGCCACCTGTGGCCTTAGAACATTTAAGAATCAGTTGCTTGAGTTCATTCTCATTCGCAGAAGTCAGTAAGGTGATACTGGTTTGCAGTAAGCGTAGAACTTTGAGTCCGACGATCGATGGTCCCGACGTTGATACCAAAAAATTACAATCGATACAGGTACCTTGTAGTAACCTCACAGGGATCGTGCAACTACCAACGAGAGGTACAGAATGTCCAGTGATACCGCGAATGTTAATATCTGTAGGCACTATCACGGCACTGGGGTAGAATGCAGTTAGATCTGATTGTGGAATGATGGACTCAACACTACCAGTATCAACAATAAAGTCATGCTTTTGACCAGAAGCGGATATCAACGTTTTAAAAACATGTGACGAATTTTGGGACAAAACAGATAGAGAAAGAGTAGAAATATCTTCAGATAATGTCTTCACGTCAGTGTTTGGGTCAGAAGTTAAGTGACACACTTTCTTGGACTTACAGACAAGTTGAATGTGTCCTGTTTTACCGCAGCTAAAACACTTGGCTCGTCTGTGGGGGCATGAATATCTGGAATGGTTTCGTCCACAAGACTCGCATTTCCCGAATTTTTGAGCCATCGGATTAGGGTTACGATCTGTGAAGTGACGTGTTGATGGATTTGAGGCACGAGAATCTGTTCGAGGTTTGAATTTGTTGTTCGTCCGCATCCTTGAATTATTTCTTTTAGAATAATTTAACAAGACTGCTTCCTCAGTCTTCGTCACATGCTTCACATCTTCATACTGCTCACATATTTTCCGAATAGTTTGAAATTTCTGATCCGGACAGAGTAACAGCTTCTGCTGTAATTCGGGCAGTTGAATGCCAGCAATGAGTCTATCACGCAGCTGGTCTTCCAATTGGGCACCATAGTCACATTTGGCTGCCTGTGTCTGCAGCTGTAACACGAAATCACGGACCGACTGAGAATGAGAGCGGGTTAACATATTGAACTTAGCTCTTTCGGCTGCTACGAAGTTAATCGGTTTGAAGTGTTGAAGAACTTTTTTTCTCAATGCAGTGTAAGAAATATCAATTGGAGATTCAGGATATACTAAATTCTTGATTAAAGTATACGCCTCCTTGCCAACGAAATGCAGGAAATATGCAGTGAGTTTCTTATCATCCATATCGGATTTTGTGAGGCACCATATGTCGAATCGTTCCAAATAATCCTCTACGTCACGCGCAGTTGAATTAACATCTAATGGTTCCATTTCGGCAGGCATGATGAATTGTTCCAATCGCGACGCCAAAATGTGGTAATTAAGTTTCGTACGTATATCGGTACAACCCGACAAACTAGAAATCCAGAATTCAGCGAAGAGTGGCAACCAGCACGTATGTATTCGAATTGGCGAATATGTACAGCATATGGAATATTAAAACAGGAGAATAATGAATAGAGCAATGAATATCAGATCAGTCATGTTCATCACATGGTGTCTTGCACAAATGGAATGGATATTTGTACCAAAATTCGACCATTGGTTAAATACGCCACATGGAAGAATAGAGTATCAGTCATGTTCATCACATGGTGTCTTGCACAAATGGAATGGATATTTGTACCAAAATTCGACCATTGGTTAAATACGCGTTAGCACATGGAAGCACCTATTGTAAAGTATATTTCAACTAAGCGACTTTGATATTATCATTGCGCTGTCGAATAATGTGTCGCGTCATTTGTCCATCTCTCCTTCACCTTTATCACTATAAGGTCGTCCATATGCCAAATTGCCGTGTTTATGTTGACCTCTTTTCGTTTTCACTACCAGGCCGCTTGGCTGCCATCCATTAAAACGATGCTACGTATTTTTGTGTTCTCGCCCGTTTGGTAATGAAATCATATATTAGGTCAAGCCACTTTTTATTCGCACCTTTTTATCTGGCATCTTATTAGACTTCGTTCATCAAACGTCTACTGATGTTGATATCGACTTGACGATCATAGACACGTGAACTGCGCTTGTTGCACTTGTGATCTTAGCATTATGTTTACATTCTATCGTAGAATAACGGAAACGCCCAGCTCCTTGTAGCATCTACCATATTCTCCCATGCAAGAAGGAGAATGGAACGAACTTGGAGTGTTCGTTACTTATCTAAGCCTTTGTGGTACCCAATGAAATTTGCCACATCAGTGCTTTTAGCCAGAGACATTTAAAAACATCACGTCAAACGAAATCTACAAAGATAGGTACGCCCAGTGCGATTGTAGCGATTGCAGCGAAATCTCGGTCTGCTTGCCCGCCGCGAATATACTTGGAGTAGAACACACTTAGCCGGAGTTCTTCTGGAGCCCATCAGCCTAACTTCCCCTATGAGCTCATTCCGAGCAATTTCGAATGCAACCCTTTATGAGGTGCCCGAAGGCAGACGCTTTGTTTGTGGCGTTTCGATTTGTTGGAAGTTGTCGCGTGAATTCCGCGCAATTCCCGAGGAGTTTGAAATTGGTAGCGCGCTAACGAATACTTCAAAACAGATACTAAATTTGTGCATTATTGTTTGTGACAGCAACAGTAAACATCAAAAGGGGCCGACCATCCGAACCAGTCACAATCACAGGCCACCCCCACCCGCGTCGACGAAACGTATAAAGGTACAAGCATTTCACTGCTCATCATCTACAAGCCGCCTAAAGCACACCATCAATTCACTACGCCATGTTGATGTCAACTAGGTTAGTACAAAATTCCTGCTCAGTCCAGCGATCAAAATATTGACCATTATTTTGAAAGTTGCTACAACACTGACGCAACTGCGTTTGTTAGTGATAAGAATCAGGAATGAAAGATAATCTTATTAAGTAGAAGTCGTGGGTTGGTGCCTGAAAAGGATATATTGACCGCACTAAACGGACGAATTAAACGAAAAGAACGATTCCTGCTTGCAAAATCTAGTATGTCGGGATGATTTTCGGGATAGCACGATGTTATTTCTTGGTGAAACACAGCTCGTAAGGCCGATGAAAGCTCTTTGACATCCTACCACAGTTCTTGTCCTTTTTCGGACTCATCAGATACGTCCAGTCCCTAAATTTTCAATTCCTACGCTCCAAGGAAAAGTGGACTCGCGATAGAAACTCCTTTGCGTATCTGGTCAACCCCAAGAAGGGCGAAGCTGATCATGAGCTTCCGAAGAGTTTCCAACAGTCAAACTACTCACGGGGTTGCTAAACAGTCTTTGGTGGCCCTTTCACTGGAGGCTCATCAGGTGGAAGCAGTCCGTTCAGTGAATCACAGCTGAACCTCTCACTTAGGAGCAGAGATTCAGCTGATGTTCACTTGTACCTCACGTAAAAATTAAATTAGTGTGCATGCGAGCATATTTCGTGAGCTGTCAAAAACCTCATGAGTAAAATGCTCCGTCAAGGAAAACAGCTGTTATTGATTAAACTATACTCTAAAGAAATAATTTTGTTTCATACCGCAATGATCAGGTGGCTTTGAATGCAAATGCAGCTGTTTTGTAAGAGGTGAAAAGTGGCTTTGAAACTGGGAAAGCGATGTTTCCTCCATCTTTGACCTTGAGATTTCTTTACACAGGAAGGCAATTTACATGCTGTAATAAAAAACGGGTTGTAAACTTTACTGTCAGAAGTCGTCTTTTACTTTGTCTTTCTGACGACTGCTATTGTATGCTCGTTTGCTTTGTCATCTTCCTCTTCTGCATCTGTATATTGTGTCCAAACTCGCGCCTGCCTCGTATGGGAAAACTTTTTTCACAGTTTTCAAGGATTTATGGCAAATTATATCCTCAAAGCTTACTTGCTCGCTTCTTCAAGTGGCACAGGATTTTTCTCAAAGCCCCTTGAGTCTTACTGAGGGTGTTGCTGACAAGAAGGAGTGCTTCAGTCCCTGTCAGAAGTCAAATCCGGTTGAGAAAAACACCAAATTAGGCTTGTTGGCTTAATTCGGTTCTGGTCTTATTCCAGGTGTTTCTGAGTTCTAGTTACAATATCATTCAGTTGTTGGAATTTCCTATCATAGTTTAATCCATACAGATGACTGAAATGGATGAATTCATCAAAACAAACAGGCATTTTAATTTGCTCGTGTATGCTTATATTTTTCCAAAGAGATTCCATCAAAGAAATGATAATCAGAAAAAACTTGTTACATGTGGGTTCGTTCAAATTTTTGCAACCGCCGCCACCTTTAAAGAACGGGACGGTATTCAAAATCTAGTAGTTTACACATGATTTTGTGGTCGTTCAAAAACTTCTACTTGTGCCTAAAAAATCTCATGAAGTCATAAGGTGGGAATGTGCAGTAGATTTCATGTATCTACCGAAAACATACGTCTTGCGGAGCAGATTGGAGTTATACTTTCGACAACATCTTCCATTTTAATCAGATGTCCTCGCGAGAACAGTTGCTGTGAAAACTCAATCGAGGACTTTAATTATTACTGCTTTCATTGTCGTTTTTATTTCTAACATTAGTGATTATGGTGAGGATATTTTATCCAGAAAGCCTTGAATAAATTCAGATTGCCAAAATCAATATTTTCTACGAACCTCATCTCTTATTTTTCTACTATTCTATATAAACTTTGTTGGTAAAAATGTTCGTCCCATTAAAAATTATGTACAGCCGAGAGAATAGCAACTCAGATGAAATGGCGTGTGGCGGATAGTCAATAGGTAAATATTTATGTACAGTAGAAATAATCATCCCAAATTTCGAAAGAACACCAACTTTGGGAAGGGACAGGGATCGCATTCAAGTAAAACTTTTGTTTGAACCCATCGATTCGAGCATCCGCCCTGATCTGAAAACTTTTGAATTGAACTGTTGTGTCTCCAGGGGTTGGTGTTGTTGCTGATGCTGGTTTGAAGGAAGCAATGATAAATAGGACTCATTGGTGTGTGCATCCGGATAGCTCACGTTGTTCATAAAATCAAACTTTACAAACCGAAATGGACTGGCTCGTCCCTGTGTTCGCTGTTCGCGTTCGCTTGTTATAGGACCAGGAGACGGACATAGCATATCGGTTGGGTATCCTCTGCAGTCCTTTAGTAGTTTGCCTTCTTGTAACTTCTCGGTATTTCTGTTCAGCTTATCAAATCTGCCGGAGTCGTTTTGATGTGAGCTATGTTTCATGCGAAGCTTCTCTTCTCTTCTCCACTTTGCTCGTCGGTTGGAAAACCATACCTGGATTCGAGCCTCAGGCAAGAGAATCTGCGTGGATAGTTTTTCTCGCGTGAACACATCCGGGTAATGTGTACGCTCGAATTCTGTAGATGCAGACAAGTTGAAATAAGGTTGAAGCGCTCAGCTAAATGACGTGCCAATCTAACAAGCTAAACAGATTAAAACTCACTATCATTTTGACTCGACTTGCAGTGTACTGCCAACAAACCGCCTACCTGATGGGTAGATAACTTAACCAAAAAAAGAACGGAATTTCGCGCGGTTAATCCCATGCAATGAGCTCACAAGAAGTGGAATCCAGTTTACTTTCGTGCAAATATTCCTCAACACGGACGCAAACGTTTGGAAGAAACTAGGTGATTAATTCAAACGGTAACATAACTATGGTGTAGTTCTAGAACCTATTCATCCGAAATGACATCAGGTGTTAAGAATTATACAGAAAATACAAAGTTCATAGTGATTTTCGGGACTTACGCCCAAGTAATTAATACAAAACAGAGTAGGCGAAAATCATGTCTTCTCACAAAAAGAACGAGAGGATTTGTGACATCCACATTTGTAGTGGGATTTCAAGTTGCTTATATGTCTTTATAAGTCCGTATAATGAAAGAAAAGATCTTATAGCCGGCTTCATCCAGTGCAAACTTTCTGTTTTACTTGTTTTCCAGATTTCAGATAGTCCCACATTCCTTCCGGTCGGAACATCCACCATGCCGTGTAGAGCTGACTGTTTAACGTGTGAAAGAACCTCCGCCCTAAGGAGAATTAGAAACTCTGAATCCAATTATTTTGTAGATCAGAACTCGGAGGAGTGGGTGTATAACTGGACTGACTCCTCAAACTAGCTGAAAAATACTTTGCTTGTATCCAGACAAAATTAGATCTCCAAATGTCATCGATAACCTAAATTTATAAAAATGGCATCGAAAATTCCGTGTAACTTGTTTATAGGGTACAATATATAGTTTGCAACACGAAAAATTAGAACACTGCGGGTTTGACAGATGCATGGATACAACTTTTCAACTACTAGTTCAAAAGTGGTGAAATAAGTTAAGTTTAAAACCAGGAATTTTTCCAGTCTGATTGATAGAGTACTCAGCCCACTACCACAATCCAGTCTTAAGAATCCAAATGGATAAACATTACATAAGTGGTTTTCCCTTTGGGTTATTTTTATTATTAATTATTGGAAGGTAACGTCTTTTGCAATTTATCCTTACTGAGACAACTCAGAAGTATGCCTGGATCTAGTTGGTACTTAATAAACGATCATTTTGTAACGGAACGCCACATCGATGGCCAAGGGAAGTCTTCCTACTATAGAAAAAGTCTTCGTAGTTTCCAGTTGCAAAACACGATGCGCGTGACTTACTAGTTATCACATAGCGCGCGAAGAAAGTTAAAAGAAAAAACCGTTCGTCTGACCTACTTTCAGTAGCCGGATTCCTGGGAAACTGACCATATCCAACGACCAGTCAAATTCATTGTCAAATTGCAATTAGTGAACTCTATAGGCAATTTTCTGACTGGTGTAATGTACATTGTATCACTGTTCCATTGCCAGGTCACTAATCGGACTCAAAAAGTGAGGTCCCGCGGGCCGTGCGGTTGGCATACATAACATGGAGAAAGAAATCACGCTTGACTTAACTGCTCAAAGAACAATATAGTTTGAGATGTGATAACACCTAAAACAACGCTTTGATCATAATCGTGCAAAATCCTTCGGATAACCAAGGTTGACTACAGTCGTTTGACCAATAGTGCTTCATCAATCACTGGGATGTCTGAATCTGTCACTTCGTATAGTGGTCCATGAGTCACACTGGTTTGTTTTGGGAATAGTCTCAGTCACATGTCTCCCGATCGATGGAAGTGGCGTTCACGTACTGACCAAAAGGAAGCAGGCTTTTCTCAGAGTGCACCCAAAGGCCGTTTAACTACAACGACACAGTGCAAACCACATGCCGCAGGCGCTCGTACGTATCCGGCTGTTTAAGTAATCCTGCAGTCATGAAAGAGACAGTTAGATCTTTGCTTCCCACTGCGTGTTTTACCCGATCCCTCTGCCTGACACGTATAACATTTTACGCGCAGATGCGGTGAAATTCGTACTGGCGGAAAATATAGGTGCTTACGCAGACGCGTCTCGGAACATCTGCCCAGTCGAGTCACTAATCGATCGATCAATGAACCGAAAGCTGGGACCCGAAAACCATTCCATCGACAGAACACCGAAAAATTTCCAAAATTTACTCCGCAACGATAACATGAAACCATTTCGAGTAATACACACCGGCTACCCTTGTGGGGTGCCAGTAAGTCATTGCCGGTCAGGTTATTCAACGTAATTCGACCACAGCTGACTAATTTTCAGGTAGTTTTCACCCATCATTTATGATTTCAATTGCGGTTTAATTCTCCCACACGGCACGAGAACTTGGTGGAGCAAGGAACAACCATCCACACATCAAGACGTGGTAAAATTCATAAAGAATCTAAGCTGCCTAAGAAAAAGTCATAAACTGATCTTACCTTTCTCAAGTTCTTCTAACTGATGGTTGGAAAAAGAAGTCCGGCTTCTCTGCTGTTTCCGTTTGTTTGATGGGCCCGTCACACTGACCACTGACTCCTCTACATCACTGAAGTTCCCTGCACTTTCACCATCATTGCTATCTGTCTTGGGACTGATTGAATCACAAAAACTTCTTACTGACATTCCCATGGGTACTGTTCTTGTGTCTGATCTACTTTTGAAGTCACATTTTGTCTGCGTTTGAAGTTGAATATAGTCTGAATTGTAGCCAATACGTCTGTCACCGGGATACGCGGCGTTGCTGAAAGTATGGATTTCGACCCCTTTGGTGGATTCCACCGAGTTTGGTTGTTCAGACAATAGATCTTTTGAAGTTTGTTGTAGGTTACTTGTTTGCGATTGATGATCCGGACGTTGGAAGCCAGACTGCGTATCGACAGCCGATCTCCAGTGACCACCTGATGTCAATAGATTGAGAAGCGTTCGTTATCAATCAAATCACAGTGCCTGTTCTACTAGGATATCGTTTTTCATACTCTGCATACTCATCACCACACTCAGATTTGTGTCGACATTTCGAAGCTATCTTGATCTTTAGTGGAAGATCGCTAGGCACCACTGGCTAGTAGAATGGTTCAAAATGTTTCCACTGGAACATTTTTCCTAAATGAAGTTGTCCCGACATCCAAAGGGTTGCAGTTCGAAAGAAACTCTGTCCGTCACGGAACTAACTATTTTTCGCTGTTCCAGCATAAGAAACAGTAGTTAATGAACACAACCTGTGTCATCTGCATAGACGCAACACACGAAGGTCAGAGAAAAGTCATGGACCGCTCACGACCGGTTTCGTTCTTCCACTTCGGGCGCATCAGGTAGGCGCAGTCAACCTTACGTTCTACTTGAACCCAAACTGCACGAAACTCGACAAGTACACTCGTTTGCACATCAGTTTGTTTTTTTTACGAGAGGATCACTTGAATGTCAACTGAATCTCCCTCTTATGAGTAGTTTGTCACGTTAATACGTCAATGCGTTGCGACATATCAAATATCGTACCAAGTCGAACACGAGGCGGCCGTTTTTTTCGGCAATTTCAGATGAACAATGACATAAACGGGAGATTTAGCTATGATTCTGCTGTTTTTCCTGTGAAAACTACGTTGGTATGTAAATGAGAGCATTTTTGTACACGATTCGTTTGTTTTTGGGGTTTAACACCGAAAAGATGTGCAGCGATTTTTCCTGCAATACAACCTACAAATTTCCCATTTTTTGCCTTACAGGAAACTACCAACAACAGAAAGCATAAACTAAGGAGACCATATCTAAAAAGCCCTGAGGTGCTCACATGGTAAACTTCAGTTTTTGAGCAAAGCCTCGATTGTTTGAGCACATTCGAGATAAACTCCCTGGAAGCAATGACACAGTGGAAGCCCACGTAGTCGGTAGAATTTTTGTATTGCCGCGTATAGTGTGCACCACGTAGGTCATTTAAATGTTCTGTTAAGATATTCCATATTTTTTCACATAGTAGTGTGTGACGACCACCCAAAAGCCATAGACACAAAACCACCGGCTTTACCCTCTACGAAGCTAATCGGATGGGTACAGTGCCCGGAGTCTGAATAGTCAGCCTTGGGATCCAAAACTAATCCGATTTGAACATCTACTTTTGAATTCATATATACGACGAAATTGTTCAGACTGCAGAGTCGATGGAATTCCAGCACTTTCATCATTAGTTTGAGCTTAAAATTAAACTTTTATCCGGGCAAGGCACTGCCCGAAGCGTCGGGAAGTTTAGAACAGGACGGAACCGTGAGCAATCCCCTTGTTCCTCAATACTTTTAAGGGATCTCCTTGCTTTGTTGGAGGACGAAATATAATCTCTGGGTAACAGGAATAAACCAATGAGTCCTTCCGACTTCAGGGGTTTCGCTCAACGTCAGGCACGGTTCATCTCCAAAACCACACCAGGAGTGACCAAACAACACCCTGTGTATATTGCAGGCCTCAAAACACATCACTTGACCCGTCCGGCTTAAGTTGGCCAAAGTTACACAGTTCTATTGGGATGTACAGCAACAAGGAGGTAAACTATGCTTCAGGACACTAACAATCAAAGACTGATTTGAAGTACAGAATAGCCTGCAAATTTCGATAACTGTCATCTTTTTTCTAGCAATGTCAAGCATTGACTATGAAACGAACCACGCAGACTTACCATCGTGTGCATGACACTCAAGAGCTAAAAGTTTGCTCTGCTGCTTGTCGTTATTCAACGAACTTTTTTCCTGCTGCTCCTTAGTATCCGCACTTGTTTGATGTGGTGCATGGACCATACCAGACAAATAATTGCATTCTTCCGAAGGTGGCAAAAATTCCGTGTGCATCTTTGCTGTCTGATCCAACTTTTCAGCAAGACTTGAGTGTTCGTACTGAGATGCCAGAGCGGTAAGACCATGCGATTCTTGTGACTTCAGCTCGGCCAATGATTGCTTCCTTGTAGCTTGATTCCAGTAGTCGGTTGGGTGAAGAACCGTCTTACCATTGAACATATCAGCTTGACCGCCGTACTCGGTTGGGGATTGAAGAGACTCTATTTCAGACCTTACTAGCGTTTGCGCTCCCCAGCCAAACGTAACATTCTCTGTGACGGGGACATCCGGGTGATTGTGGGCTTCTTCCCTCATCCCCTCTCGCTGCATATCACTCGCAATCACCTTATTGGTCGTCAGTTCCATATGGGACTTTTGCTCCCCCGCAGTCATTTCTGCAATCCTGGAATTATACATATCGTTTGAAGGACCACGCATCAAAGCGCTTCCGATGCGGTAGGGGTTAAAGTAGTTTAATGGAGAAGGGAGCTGGAATTCCCCAATCGGTTCACCCCGGCCATATCCCGAGGTTCCATCATGACCAACGTTTGCTGAAGCAGCAGCTGCGGAATACCATGCTTGTGCCCAAGAGGCTTGTGCCCATGAGACCTGGGCTGAAGCATGACCGGATATCAACAGATCACTGAATTTATCGTAAGCAGAACGACTCATTGCATTGCTATTATGTGACATTGTATCTGAACTGTGTGAACTATGTGCATGGGGAGGACTACCTAGAGATTTGGGCAGTGAAGAAGAGAGTGTGAAAGAAGGGCTATATATGTTCGCTGTTGAATAGCTAGGTTGGTTCGATTGATCCCGTTGTTGTTGCTGCTGTTGCTGTTGATACTGATGTTGCAGCACTTGCGGAAGCAGTTGCCTTGGGTCTGTATAACTGGAATCATATGGAACTCCGTAGGAACCAAAACCAACAGACTGTCGATCTTGAGTTGATGTTGGCTGATGATGCTGTGAGTATAACTTGTGCATCTGTGGGGCCATGGGGAAGAAGTGGCTTGAGGGGTTTTGATACGCGGGGAAACTGAATGCCGTTTGTATTGGAGATCGTGATAGACCAGGTATGGTGTATTTTGTCGATGGATGATGTATAGAGGAATTCACTGATCCTTGGTAATTCGGGAGTCCTGCATTTCGATGAGCTGCTGCAACCGCCGCAGCAGCAACAGCCGCCGCAGCCGCTGCAGAAGATAGTTTTCTTTGAGACTCGCTGGATAGGTTGCGTAGAACCCGGTTGATTGAGGAAACCTACCATTGACAAGGGATCAAACGGGATACACTGGTAATTTCTTTAACAAGGGAAATTTAGTAGTCTTCAGAAACGTAGGACCTATTTGCCGGTTTCTTTACACGATAGCATGCAACGAGTAATTGAAGTCTTATATTAGTACCTCTGTGACAAAGATGCCAAGTATATATTTCGATGGTGTGTCAGAGACAGGGATAGAGACTTTGTTTCCCATCTAATGTAGAAGAAGGTGAGCAATGGAAAGGAATTGATTAAATGTGTTTAGGGCATTTGTTAGGGACGAAATAGAAGTTTAGTTATTGGCTATCCGGTGTGAATGACCGTCAGGGATGTAGGTGAACCGCCAACATGGGGTCACGCCTCATTGCGACGCGGTTTTGTTTCCTCGTAGACAGAGACCCATATGATACTCATACGCACCTGCGATATTCACATAATACTTCTCAAAAGAGGAGCCCGTATGTCCTAATTCGACAGTCCCATCCATCATCCGATAAATGTTTTGTATAGAAATACTTTTCCTGCACCAAAGACTGCTAAGCACTCTTTCTTGACATCCACATCAAAGCACTGGATTGCTTGATGTCGGGGGACATGCTCAAATTGATCAGTACTGCCGATGTCAACTAAAAAGATGCAAAAACACGGCGGAATGTAAGAAACGCAGAACTTTCTCAGCAGGTGAGAGGATGGGGTTTGAGTACCGCTCCAAATTGTGTGCACTTGGGTCCACATAAAGAAACTAGAGGTATATCAAAATGCTTTACAAATCGAGACCTAAAAGTGTTTTTGAATGTGCAGTGGTTGACCACACGGTTAAGTTATTGCTGGTAAACGGGGGTTTTGCTCTACTGGCTGAAATTCTGAACGATAGTTTGGCTGACTGCTTGAAATGAAATACTGTATAATAATGCGACGATTCCATTCCTAAGGGCTTCCTATTTCCAGCTTTTAACTATAAAATTTCTTAAACAAAACACCATTTTACCAGTGATAATGAAAGTGGGTATGGGACCAGTTGAAAGGCCTCCTGCTTGAAACAGAAGAGTGAGTCTTTCAATTACAAAAACCTTGAGATACTTCTAAATTATTGCTAATTTTTTAACGTTTTCTTCAGTTTTCTAGGGTGGCAACAAGCCAGCCCAGTATACTATGTGGCCAAACTACTATATATTGCACCAGCGTAAATCGACAGCAGAGTTGAGAACTCTTTGAGAACTCAAAAGCCCGAAAAGCAAAGCTATGCAGGGACGTGAATACTGTCCGCCCCCCAGAAATCCAATACTATTGTTGAGTTCAACTGTCATTAAGGAACCATCATTGTACTGGATTACAAGTAGGATTTTAACAAAACTGTGGGAATCGTTCAAATAAAATTCATCATTCGTTTTGAAAAAACTGCAAGCACCCTCCAGCAAAGTGCTTCTTGGGATACACGCATCTTCGCGCACAAAGGCGAGTTTAAAGCTGCTCAGCAAAGAAACAGGCTTTATAGGGTCAGACGAACATTTCTTGTGGATATCCTGTTGGCGAACACCAGTGGACGCTTGTGGAAAGTGGCTTCTACTAAAGAAGAGTCATTTCTTAAAAGCTCGTAGGCATTTGAAGCCAATGAATTTTCCTGCCGTAGATGTTTAAACAGTGCACATCTGTATGTACAGACAAATTACCTAAATCGTTCACTATTTGCACAACCTGACGTATTAAATGTTTCTAATAATGAACTTTCCCCAGTTTTCTTGAAAGAACACCACTCATTAGGTTACTGAAAACTTTTCGATAACCCACGACCGCTTCGGTCCAGGTCGGGTTTCATCAGGGAGACATAGTCCCCGAGTTTCCGTCAACCTCCTGTTCTACTTAAAACCAAATTCACTCGCGAATGAATGTATTTGTCGAAAACAATCCAATTTGGGTTCAAGTGGAACATACGTTTGACGGGAACTCGGGGCCTGCGCCTACCTGATGAACTTAAGAAGGGCGAAACCGGTCATGGCCTGTCGAAGAGTTTTCAGCAACCTTGCGAGTAGTTTCCTTTATGAAAATGAAGCATCTCTGTTTTGAAAATCCACGGCTGTCACAAGATCCTTAGGGGGTCAGGAGCATTTGATCAAACGTACCTAATTATTCTGGATAGGTTTGGGAGAATAGGACACCCACTGTAGCCAGCAGCCAGTCTTGGTCCTACTTTATCTCCACACTGCAACGGACGAATTCTCAAACATACTGACTGATGAAAGCGTGCAACACAACTACCATAGTATCTATGTAAAAGCCTTTGAAATAGCAATGGATACTGTTCAGATATATGGCTATAATTAACTGCACTTTAGCTAGGCATGTTGACAAGATGACAACCTCATCTAAGAATGTGCTTAGAAATATTATTAATAGTAGGAGTACTGTCGCTTCACGTTCCTGAGTCTCTACGGAGGCTTCACGAGGCCGAAAAAGAGTTATCTATTTAGAAGAGTAGTTTCTTTTGTGGATGGTGTCACAAGCTCATTGCGGCAGCCTTTGGAAATACGATAATCACTCTTGAAGTGCAAGCTTTGTCGTCGTAATGTCTGGACTGTGCTCTCAGGTCACTTGCCACTTACGGTTGTTTTCAATAAAATCCGGATGAATTCAAACTGTCTCCTAATAACAGTGGAACAGATGCACATCGTCAATGGGGGTTGTTTGGTTGAGAATGTTTCGGTGACAGAATAGGAGTAAGCTTTGTAAGAAGAGCTAGTTTGCCGGTAGATGAGAGAATTCGTAGCAACTCCTCTAATCCCCTCGTCTCGGGGGAAAGTATGTTTCTCTAATTGTGCAGATTTATCTGTCAGGTGGATCTTTATTTGTTCAACAGCGACAAGGCTTGCTGAAGACTGCCAGTGATGTGCTAGTCTTCAAAACGTCTCTTAGTAACCGAGTGGACAGGATTATTGTTCACCCACACTGGGGTTAGAACAATCCGCCTTTAAATTTTCAATTAGAGGACGCGTATGCTGACCTTAATTTTTCTTCGGTAGGCTAGATTGTTGATCCTTCGGTTAAAGTGCTATAAATCCACACGACGCAGTAGAATAACTGAGCTCAACCACTAACCCACCGCTACTCACAACTACGCACTGATGATGTCACCTCGATTGGTGATGAAGCGCTTGCAACCAAATTGCCCAGCTCGGCGAAAAAGCCAACGCTACCTGAGCTACCGACATTCTCCTTTGGGCCTTTCAAGTTATTCACCAGAATTTAACGCTTTCAATAGTTCCGTCCATTTGAAAGGAGTGGATCTGTTGGGGTCCAACCGATATATATAAGATATTAAATCACCATCTCGGAAACCGAGGTAGCGAGCTAACCATGTTATTTCACGCTTTCAATAGTTCCGTCCACTTGAAAGTTGGGGTCCAACCGAGGTAGCGGGCTAACCACGTTTTTGAAAATAGGTACAAAAATACACAGGACTGTCAGCTAGATCAGTTAACATAATCGTAGCATCAAATGTTATGATCTGTTTTCGTTAAAAAGTGTGCCATTGTTCAGCAAGTCATTTGAAACCCTGTACGGTACAAATCTCGTCCTTTTGATGACAACCACCACAGCGAATATTTATACTCGCAGGCTTTTCGTATGTATTTTAAACTGCTCCGATTGACTGCCAGCAACTTGGGGAAGTTTGGACCGAGAACCGTCATAGTGTTGTCCAACAAGTGGAGCTTTTTTTGATCTGGTTCACGAGGTACCATGTAATGGTTTGTTCAGTTTAATTTACGAGCCCGTAACGTTTAGTAATATGGGTCACCAATAGTTGATCATCTCCTGTCTGTATTGTTTAAACAGACATGTCTACTACTACCTTACTCTGCTAAGCGTCTTTTTGTACTAGGAGTGACCTTCGCTCTCAAGATCATTGTACTAAAAGACACGTGTGTCACATAGGAAGTGTGGTATGCTTAGGGAATTCAAGTTCAGACACGTCAGAATGACACAAAGTTTAGAAAATCTACTTTTAATCAAATAGTCTTCTGCGATGATTCAGATATACATGGTTTCAGAAAGTAATAAGGTCCCAAAAACAACAAGAATTTGGATTTTGTATCAACCAGTGAGAACACTACCCTTGCCGTACAACGCAAGCTGTCAGCCTTAAACAGTTTGGTGTATGATTTAGCCTCTACAAGTTAACAAAAGCTCTAAATGCAGACGCTGAGTTCTGTGTATCTAAAACCACTTAACCGGACACAAGTTCATCAAGAACTGCGATCATTCCCTTCAAAACTAAACAATCAAACCATTCTCTAGAGTTCCACAAGCACCTTGAGAGAATCAGCGGGTCGAACTCGGTTACCATACTGTCTTTGAGGATTGTTTGCAACGACTAAAAACCAATTTTTAGAGATTTCCACCAGAAAACTACAAGAAAAGGGAGCAGTTGCCAGACCTATTTTTATCAGTATTCTGCTTTTGAAACATTAGGAGGGTTCCAGCCTGAATAATCCCTCCATTTCAGAAGGTTGGCATGAAATATCCCAAGATGCAGGCAGCATTTGTTCATCTATCAATTATGTTGTCCTTCATCGTTTAGTGCTTCACAAAACAAGCACAACCGTCTATTGCGCAACGCTATTCACCAATAATATCCCCAAGGTTTGCCAGCTGAGGTTATCAAGACACACAGAGCTGCACTATGCACCACAGAACCAAATAATCCTATAAAAAACAAGACCAGCCATCAACTCACACTTGGTATATTATCCGGGGTGCAGATTCCTTCTTGTAACAGGCGATCACGTATCTCCCAGGCAAATATTGATGGACATTCGCGCTTGTATAAATCAATTTTAGCCACCACACTACCAGTAGCCACCCTAGGTTTGCTGCCACCGATTGCCTTTGGTCGAATGGACCCGGTCTCATAATATCGACAAAGTATCTTGGATACACATCCGTTGGAAACCTGGAGAATCCGGGAAATATCGCAGGGCCGTGCTCCTGAATGAGCAAGTTCAATGATGCGTTGACGTGTGCTGTCGGGTAAAGGACGTCCGTTGACGAACATTCCACCGAGTTGATTAACACCAGAATGACCTGAACGAGAGCGAAGGAAGTCGGGAATCTAGGTTGTATTACAAAACAGCATAAAATGCGTAAGTACCGTTTGAATAACTTCGACTGTATGAAATGAAATGAAGGTTTTCAATAGCTATTGTGCCCGTTTTAGTTAAGTTCGGCATTCAAAACGAAGATTTATGGCATGCAGGTATTACAATGCAAGTAGGATTGAAAGAAATTTCAAAATGCAAGGAATTTTTGCCAAGAGTGCATGGAATAGAAAGCTTGGGGTTATGATGAAAATATAAAAATACGTATATCAGAGTTTGTCACTATATTTTGAATGTGGGTTCGACTTTGTGGTTGGAGTCTGTGCAGGAGAATTCGGTAGAACTAATTCATTCTGGAAGCTTTATCCATAAGACACTTTTAGAGGGTTGTCTTCTTTTCCTAACATCCAATTCTTTTATCAAGTATGAACATTTTTGCCGAAACATGTGGGTAATGCCGGCGGCTCAACAACCATGCATGTGTTTCCCTACCAAGAGTGCTCTAGTCTCATTGTATAATAGAATTTAACCTGTTGGGCGGTTTGGGGGAAACGAAGCAGGTGATTCAGCTCGGAAGCTACTCACAAGTAGTTTAAATGCAGTGTGCATTCGCTCCATCATCTGGAGCGTGCTCTGATATGAGTGCAGAGAGTAGTTATTGTGTAACAATCATATGTGACAACGAGACAGAACTGTTGACTTTGATGGTGGCTATTTCAATGGCACACTGCGTTAGGACCAAATGTATAAGACTTTGTTTGCATGTTCAGAAGTGATATTTCGGGTTATGTGGTGAAACCCCCATCTAGCAGCTCAGGTTTTCTTTCAAAACATACAGTATGGCTTTTGTGGTGAATACCACTGAAATATCCAAAACCCAAGGGTGTTAACCACTAGTAACAAATGGTAATACGCGTCTATGCGTTCGACTACACCAAACTACACAAAAATTGTGTCAATGTCTCTGATTTAGGAAACATAAACTAAGACCCAAAGCGAACGGTTTCCTGGATGAGATGGCCACACACTTGCTAAACATGCATATGAAAGACATCATTCTTATCCCTCAAGTTGTGTTAATAAGTAATATGAGATTTTTCTGAGAAGTTATTTTGAAAAGAATATTTTCCTGTGAAATATTGTCGAAGATTCGGCACCTTAACGGAATTTGCCAATTTTAAGCATTGCACAGTCACCAACTTTCTAGACGTCTAAATTTCCAGCAATAAATATGAAGTGTAGTCGATGATGTCATCCGCTGAAGATTGTTTTTTGCTTGAACCTCCACTTTTTTTAAGTAAACAAGGTTTTTTCGGTAGATGTTCCTTCCGTGAGCTTTTAGTATACAAATAATTATTGTCTTTAGGTATATCCCCTTCGCTGGAGGTGGTCAGTTTCATAAAATGCCAGTTTATGAGTATATTTTGATAACTTTCAGAGGTTGCGTCTATAAAACAGGGTTACAATTTTAGTTTTAAGTCCATCAAACTGTCCAGTTCGTTTTGGCCTATGATCAAATAGACCAATACGGAATCATTTCAGCAACGGTATTTTATGGAACAGAGTTTGGAGCGACTTCAAACAGATGAGAATCACGGCATTTTAGTTTTAAGTCCATCAAACTGTCCAATTCGTTTCGGCCTATGATCAAGTAGACCAATACGGAATCATTTCACCAACGGTATTTTATGAAACAGAGTTTGGAGCGACTTGAAACAGATGAGAATCACGGTCAAGTAAGTGACTTGCCACCGTTGGAAAAATAGATACTTTTTGGTTGGCCGATGTATTAGGGTTTAAGTACTTGCGCTTGGAAGCAAGGCGATTCTACTTTGAGCTACACAATTCCAAGCCTTACCGTAAATCACCGTGTAATAGTTATAGCTTTGAAATTACAAAGTAAACTACCGCACTAATACTCAGGTGTCTTGGAAGACAGAACTTACTGCAGAGGAAAGTAAACTCACCTCTTTTTAGTTTCCGTTTACTTCTTTCTTCCATAAAATCACTGTCACTCAGGGAGGCCATACGTACCTAACAAGATAGTGGAAAGAATAAAATCCCCTTTGGACAAAGGTGGCTATTAAAAGGCGTCAGTGTATCAGTATTAACAGGGATAATTAGTTCATTCCTCTCTTCCTATGCACGCTAAGACTGAAAACTCTTGGAAGAATCCCCGAATTCAATAAGATGTTGCTGTTCTCCCGCGTAGTGTGCAAGACGAACACAAAGCTAATATATATTAAGTATAATCTTCTAGTTCAAACCTAAGCAGTGTGGTGCACTTACAGCAAACAGACCACCACCCTCATTTGCAAGCGAATTTGGTTTTGATAAGAGATTCGACAGAATTTAGCTGCAACTTCTCGTTTATGATGGTCTGTTTCAGTTGAACTTGCTGCACTAGATCACCTCATGTTTCATTTGGCACGATATTTGAACATAAGGTTGAGGGAAACTCGGGTACGACGCCCCGAGAAGGGAGACACCAGTCGGCTGTCAAAATGTTTTCAATAGCTTTAAGAGTAGTGTATTACTTTTAACCTACCCCCTTTTTGCTGCACTAAAAATTCATCAACTCGGCGTAGTTCAGACGAAATTGTGTTTTTTTAATAAAAATCATTTCCCTTTCTCCCCAAAGTGAACAGTGTAAAAACAAAATACACATTCTAAGTTTGCATTTATCACTACGTGCAAGTTTTGAATCATTTAAGTAATTGGATGATCTGTTATCTTTTAACGGCTATCTTGATAGAAGAAATAACTGAGGTAAAGGGCCGTCTGAACATGAACTGTATGGAAAATCCGATGAATGAACCAGGAGGGGCATATTAGGCATCCCATCGTACAACAGACTCCAGCACTAACTGTTTAGACGGAGATCCCGGACGACAATTTAACTACCCGTTGACGGTCACATTTTGGTACGCCTTCACGTTTCGTATCTCTGGCTTCAATATGTGGACGAAGTCCCAACAGCTACTAGGCTGGTGACTGGAGGCTACCGTTCACGACCAGTCACTTTGAAGTTAACCTACTCTCGGGTGTTTAACTTGAGAAGAGAAAAAATAGGCATACTTCTAGTTGATTAGTTGAAAAACCGTAGAAGCACAAACCCAAATCCTCTAAATAATTTATCTTTGTTAGTAGTATGATAAGCCTCTTTAGCAACACTAGCAAAAGACAGCTTTAGTTAAAAATGGCGGAATGGGAGAGAACAATCCAGTGAAAATATACTTTTGCCCAAATCAATAACGGATATGGTACCCTGATTCGGGTTTTCGGTGGGAGGATTTGTGCCTTTGAAACGTCAAAGAATATTGCATTGATCCATACTCCCTAACTTTGTATGGAAGGTGCAGTCTACAGACTTTAGTTGAGTAATAAACTGATTGATTTGCTTTAACTGAATGCCTGAAAAATACCAAAACTAATTAGGTCAAACTCCCATCGATTCTTTTTATGCCGTTTCATCCAGAAGAGAAGTGAAGGTAATTTCTACCGAAGATCGCACATATGGCTGTGGCTCCGAGGTCGCATAACATGTTACAGGTCACTGAACTAGGCCTCAAACAGATGACGAATCTACATCATCTGGCCCAGCTGCAACATATTAAATGTTACGCCCGTAAATACTGCATACTTCGCGTAAGATAGTCCTACTTAGCAGGATGGTTTCAAGTGCATAGCTGAAAATTTGGCTGTTACTTTTCGGTGCGACTGCTTTCGGCCTGGCTGCTTATCGCAAACTCCGAGAGCCAAACGAGGTGTAGACAACTGACGCAGCGACTGGACTTGGCAGTGCTACGAAGAATGGGTGGATTGTTGGTTTGTTCACCGAATTTGGTAATTTGGTTCCAAACCATAAACAGCGGTGCACTTGGGACAGAACTCTTGCAACTCAGATAGGAGACTCGACAAACAAACCAGGTGAAAACACTGGTTCCTCTAACGCCATAAGAAGACCCCGAAAACGTATGATAATGGTTCATTATGACTTGATTTTATCGTTTGAAGTAGTGAATGTGCTGATCGCGAGTCACCTTGTCTAGAATACTGAACACAGATCACCACCAACAGATACAATGTGATTTTACATGGGCTGCTCTAAAAATCTCTACGAACTTATCCTGAGTTTCTTCAGTCAAAATATTTCACATGGGTAACTGCACCAGAGTTTCCCTCAGTCACAGGATGGACAACGGCTCACAGAAACATAGCGCCTAAGAGAAAGTAGCTAAGCATTTCAAAAAGTTCACCAATGATGGAGTTGTGGGGAAGTAACACATGGATTTTCGCAGCATATGACTGCTGGTTTGACAACATTTAAATTGCAAATCCCCGTCTGTGCACAATTTGAAAAACTTCACTGAATCCTTTCTGTGTTATATATGGTGATAATAATCTGTATTATATATGGTAATATGATAATAATCCTCGAGCTGCAACATCCTCTCAACACCTATGTACCTTGCCACGCAAAGAAGAAATAGGGTTGAGAAGCTGCCGGGTTACACAAGCCCAGAAAAGAGCAGCAGTCGAGATGCCTGGATTGGGTTCGAACCACGAACTTTCCGGTGAGTAAGTTTACGCCTTAACCACTGAGCTATCTCCATCCCTCCATGTGTTGAGGTAAATAGGATCACACATACCTTGAGTATTGCACATGAGGGCAGGTTATTGCATCAGATGTTCAATATTGTCCTTCTAGAGTGATTCTACCTATGGGATTTTTCCAATTTAAAGTGAACCTATGGCTCAATGCAGCGCTCACAATAGTTGCATATATTTTCCCCACAGTCATGCGTACCAGGATTCTTGCACCCTCCCCGATCGAATTCCGAACTCCTGTACTCCCAGGTGTATTCTTAATTGTACACTAGCGGGAGGAAATAAAAGTACAGTGTTAAAATATTTGTTCTTTTAGTCCACCATCGGTGAGGTATCGATGGCAGAACATCAATTCGGAAAAAACATGAGTCCCCTAGTTTGCACACAGTTTGCCACTTTGTCTCAGGATATGAAAGATCATTCACTCAAAGAAGTCACGGTTTCAAAGGGAAGAACTAACGCACCATTTGTGGAATAATTCGTTCAGTTAGATGATACTAAAATGAACTAAATCCGGCTGACATAGTGAATAAGAGAGGAGGATTATTCACCTAAAGCGTCCTTAAGCGTGCAACCGGACACTGTCCACAACTGCTTCGGTATACACCTACTGGTAATCAGATACGATGCTACTTCGCGAGTAGATTTAATCCCCTCCTTTTTTCGGAACCAAATGAATTACACTGATGAATTCCGAATAGCCACAGTTTCCCCTAACGAGTGAACACTCAACTGATGGAAACGAACTCACTTTCACAAAAACGAGTAGAAATGCTGTGTATCCGGCTGATCGATTTTTTGCACAATTTGGGCACTTCTTCCGATAGATCACGTCTAGTACATGCGTCGATGGATTTACCGATGCAGGATTAGTCACCTAGTGTGAATAGTTTTTCCGCTTGTATCGTTATTTCGTAGCGAGTATAATTATTCTAGTTCACATGCGCGTGCCTGTGTTTCATGGTACATTGACCAGGCGAAGAAGTACGGTGATCACTCAGCTGTTGACACGTACGTGGTTCGCAACAGTACCGTGTTCGTAACAGTTCACTTGACAATAGCATCGAAGCCGACGACGACCTGATTGCACGCGACTGCACTGAGGCACTGAAGCGCGTGGTGAACTCTCCAGGCGTGTTTTTTCAGCCGTTTGAATGGTACGCTTGAATCTGCAGCGTTAGAAATGTTTGGCCCTTCGGCTTCAGTCGCTTCCTCGACGAGAATGCTCAGCGGCGCGAGAAAACCGAACTGACGAAGTGAACTGAGGCGTCAGACTAAGCGCAGTCTAGCATAGTTTCTGCGCGTGTTTATCTCGTACCCACAGTGGAAAAATAGGTTGTATGGATGATTTGGTGTTTGGAAGGGGTGGAATAAGCCGGTGTCCAAACCTATTTCCCCCTTGTTATCATCCAGGCACATGAGGCTTCACGCGATTGGTTCAATCTGTTCCAAGCCATGATAATTTGCCCTACTTTTCTCAACTCGGATTGGCTGAGAACCTGCGGCACACAATCGCTCTGCCCCAGTCGATGAAATCCGACTAATTGGATTTCCAAGTAGGAAGAAATCTGCGCACATAACACAGCAATACCGTCCGTCGAGCGGCTTACCGAACAAAATCGTTCCTAAACAAAAATACATTGACGCTGTTAAGGTGTGCCTGTCCAGTTGTTTCTTAAACGTAAAATTGATTTCAAACCATGACAAATCTGAGTCTTTGAGTCATACTTAGTTCGAATAACATCACTCACTCCTCGGTAAGTTAACAGATTATAGCATCACGCAGGCTGATGTCGAATGTGGAAGAAAATAACAGTAAACCTTGGAGCTAGCGGCTCAATCACTTCAGGTCAGTATTTGCTTTTCACCCCAGTATACTCTTGCAAAATGCGCTGCTGCCGGAACATTTACAATCTCCTGTTTTCAGAATCAGTGTATTGCACTGACACTGAACAGACCATCTTAGTTGGGTTAGCAAGTATTTAACTCTGACGTAGTGTCAGTTGGAATATGAGAGATGAGCATTCAAGTCAGCAGCATGTACAAGGTCAAGGACGTTTGCAGCATTCTTCGTGAAAAAAGACTTTTCACTTTAAGGAACAACACCTGGAATGATGGTAAACGACCCCCAGCACAAAGACATTTCCAAATCAGTCAGTTCGTGGTTATTTAGGGCGAATAATTTGCATCATCGTGTGTCGTTAGAACACTGTAACGTCTGTAGATGGCCGGAGCAGTCACTCGGCTACCAAACTCCAGATTTTCCAACAACCTATCGAGCTCAGTAATCAACCACAAGTAAGTCCTTGTCGAAAACCCACAAATATGGTTTTCACTAACTGATGGTCACCGGTAGCATGCATCTTTTAAATAATTGGAAATTTCAACTCATTTATTCACCCGAGAATTCGAGGGGCTGTGAT